GGCTGTTCTCCAAATTGTCATGGGTTTGGGGTCTTTTTTGACAGCTCTTCTCCAGCTTCAAARGATTCTTTAACTGGAGTTAGGTGCAGAAAGGACATCATACTCCTTTTGTTTTAAATATGCTCATAAGTGAGCCAGAGTAACACTGAAGCATTGATGTCTCATTGTGATTCAAATCAGAACCCTTCCACATCATGCTTGTCAAAAAGGACAGTTTGGGGTCTACCAAAGTATGTGACTCTTGAAGAATTTTCGGGCTGGCCCATGCCAGGAGTTTTTGGGGGACCACTAGATGTAATTTGGAATCTCCAAGCCTGTCCAAAGCTGTGTGTTCAAGCATGGTTGTGGTTTTCCTCCAGCCCACACAGCTAGGTTTTCTGTTTATGGAGAAGGCGGAGTGGATCTGCCTTTCCAGAATCCTCCACAGAAATTCTGGGTGCTTTAGCATGGTTTRCCAGCTCAGAGGTGTGCATGCAGAACCTTAGTATATTTGAATTTCCAAGAGGATGCCAGGAAAGGTGGGTGTGTGTGTCCTGTCTTGAGGCAGACTTCACAGTTAGCCCAGAATGCACAGAACTTCCATGGTCCTGGCACTGGGACCGACACTGAACAAAATATTTCAGGACCAGTGAATTAAGTAATAAAGGTGAGAGTTAGACATTGAAAGTTCTCTGGCTAATTCTAGTGCATAGTGCTAGATGAGACTAAGGATTGAAATTACATTCTCCTTACAAATTCATGGTCTGAAGGTTGGTTTAGTCACATTTCTGTAGCATAGAGAAAATACTGTAATAGTCTTTTGTATCTGTAATATAGTAAGGTAACCATGAGACTTACAAGTGGCACAGTAATTTCAGAAATGGAAGCGAATTTATTTCACGTTATAGGAAAGTTGTGGTTTGGATGTTTTTCTGCAGCACAGGTTTCTTTTTTAGGAACTCATTGATCTGGATGTGAAAATGTGTGGTATAGTCATTAGAAGAATGATTAAAGGATGAAGAACCTTCTGTSGGAAAACAGTGTACCCAGCAACTGCTCTTCTCTAAAGAAGAATGCTAAATGCTTGTGTCAGCAYAAAGCTTTGTGTTTCAGGCACTGGGAGAGGACTAGGTGTGTCTGTGAGAACAGTTTCAAGTAATAGTGGTGGTGTGTGTTCCAGCTGTGCTCTGAAGGCTATTTCTGACCAAATATGGTATTAGAATCTCATTGTTAATAACCATTTGCCAAATTAGTGATGTTTAAAACAGAATCCAGCAGTGAAAATRGTGTTTCAACTGCTGAACCTTTTGTAAGCAAAAGTCCAAGTTTTAGGCAKGTTCTGAGAAACTTAAAGATGACAGTGAGAGTGAGCTGAAGTGCTTCTTAGGGTTGGCTCTGATGTCAAAGCTAGCCTCTACTACAGCCCAAAAAAGCTTTGATCATCATGAAAACCAGTTACGAATATGTCTAGATAATAATCCTCATGAAAATCTAATTATCCTCTGAAGTAAATTACAAGGTGGCTTTTTAGTATGAAATTCTGGTTGAGCTKACATTGCACTAAGTTTACAGCATTATAGGGCCCTTTTCTGCCTCAGACTGTTACAATAAGAGGTGAAAATGAGCATTAAGAATGTTTGTGAATGGTAATATATAATGTGCTATCTGACCCATTARTGTTTCCACAGTCAACAAATACTTGAAAATGGAAATGAGCAATGCAYGGAGTTAGTCTCTTGAAATATTAACACATAAAGCCCCTAAAAATTATTCTTACCATCATTACACTTCACTTCTGTAAACTGGAAGAAATACGTAAACTTACTAGTTTCTTTTTAATACCAAGCTGACTGTGTTGTAATTAATACAAATTGTTCCAAGTCTAACGTTAGGTGAAGTTTCAATGCTGAGATTTGCCTTGCTGGCATCTTGTGCGATGTGGTGATTTCTGAACAGTGATTTCGTGACTATACCAAAGGGTTAAACTAAAATGCATGGAAGAGTCATCACTTGCTGATGGCTTTCTATACAGCTGCCAAACAGTATTTCAAATTGAGGAGTTCCTTACTGTTCTTTCAAAACACAACTGATTAACTCCTCTTTCCAGATTTTGTGTTCCCTGCCCCAGCTTTAGCAGGCAAAGGAGATTGTTGTACATTCTTACAAGATAAAAGTTTGTTTTTATTKTAAGAAGTTGTAGTGAGATGTTTGGAAAAGTATTGTGGTTACTCTGATTCCTTGCACTCCTCTCAGCATTTCACAATAGTTCAGAACAAATTCTGAGTTAATTTAAGCAAGAGACTTAAGAACAGGAGGTGCTTCAGTGAACACCAGAGCTGCAATGCTGCCGAACCAAAGTGCCCTCCCAAGCAAGCCTTTACTCTTGCTTTCCTGTAACTATGTTCCAGCTAACTCATACATGGCACACATTTGCAAAAACAAAACAACAACAACAACAAAAAAAAGCCTTTAGTTTTTGATTTTCTAGCCACATTCCTCTGTAGGTCTGGAATCTTGTTTGTGTCATGGACTAATCATAAAGGTCTTTCCCTTGTCTTTGCATAACATCGGCAGCAGCATGCCTTACTGAGAAGAAACTGGTTTATTTTACATTTCATACGACACTGGCAGTGCCAATTTTGAAAGATTTTTTTGTGTTTTGCTGAGTGGCATAAAAGATAGCATGAAGTCATCAATATTATGGCAGAACGCAGAATTATACCCAGTATACTAAAATAACATTTTATTTAATGCCTTATGCTGTGGTTACACTCAAGACATTTGAAATACTAAAGAAGACATGGCTTAGTTTCAAATCATTCAAACACGTTGTCTTTTTACTTAGAAGCTTAGTTCAGATGGCAGATCAGATCTGTCTTTTAATCTACTTATCCTCTCTAGCACTGGATAGAGGGAAATGTTTCTCTTAATGTAGCCAGGTTTTAACTGCTGCAGTTTGTTTCGTGTGTGATAAGAATGCACTGTTGGATCATGTTCAGCTTGGCATCCTCCATACCTGCTGCATCTTTCCCAGCAGAGCCGCTGCTCACCCGGTCAGTTCCYGGTCTCTGCTGACACACCGCTTCTCCCACTCCACATCTGAAAACATTTTAAAGCTCTGTGCCWCATAAGACCTGTATTCTGCTTATCCTAATTAGCCACCAGCTTATTCCATTTTCAATTCCACTGGCTTTTGCAAAGCATCTTTTTCTTTTCTCTTTAGAGATTTTGGGGGAGGGTGGGGCTCCTTCCTGGACTTGGGCCAGAAGCTTTCTTGTGGTATGCAACTGGTGTAGTCCTGAGCAAAGAGAAGAATTTGACTCAAAAGCTGCATCAACCTTTGAGTGACACTTCTAAGCCTTCCAACTGAAAAGAATCATGTAGTCACTGCATCTTTTTTCTGCCTAAAGTCATAATAAGCTGGCCAAAAAATTAGCCCTGGCAAAATCAGTATTGAAACAATATGGGGCTATTGAGTACCCTCTCATTGTAAAATAAATGATTGAAGCTGCATTGTTCTTCATTTACTGACATTAAAGTGYTTCCATCTGCAATGACAACCTTATGTTACTCTTGCTGGTGTGTGCTAATATGAAGACTTTTATATAAACTGTAAGGGTTTTTTCTTGTGAGAGCAAAAAAAGAAAATCCCACATGCTTCGCTATGACATGTTTGTCTCAGTTTATTTCTTTACCATGTTTTGAACCATGGCCAGCTGGAASTTCATGTGAGAAAGCTCATTATTTACTTGTATTTTTTTGTAATCTAAATGGAGGTCTCTGGGAGCTTGCTATGTCCCTTGATATAACCACAGGAAAGAMTTCTTTGGCTTTGAACTATTAATGATGGATTGCTGATGAGTGCACCGATGAATGTGTGAGAATACTCCCTAGTTTGCTCACCCTATGCAGCATACCTGTATTTCTAAGCGGGGGAAGAGGTGAAGAGAATTATTATTCACCCGCTTATATGCACTTTCTCTGTATGTTGTTACTAAAGGTATCACTGCTGGATTATGTTCTATTTACCTTTTAATTGTTTGAAGAGGCATTTGATGGGTAATTTTTTGTCATTAAGTTCAGGGATATTGCTAAAAGGATAACAAATATTAATTGGGTTGCATAACTGATTAAAAAAATTACAATAGCTTGTGGATATATCTTCTTGATTCAAATATGTCTGAAAAAGATTAAATAGCAGGAAACTTTATTCTGGAGGGTTTGTGAAGGAAAGCATGTGGCTTATTAATCTTGCATTATTTCCCTTCAGGCATGGAGATGGGCAATAAAATATGGCCTTACTCTTTTGCTCTCAGTGATGCTTTGGCTGCAGCTCTGCTTGACTCTTGCTATTTGTCTGTTCTGTTTGTACAAGAGAATGGGAAGACAGGAGGCAGAACAGAGAGGGAATGAGCAGAGCTGTGGCTTATTCCCAGCTGCTCACAGCCAGAGAGRTTGTCTGGGTGCAGAGAACTGAAGTATTTTACTGTCAGAACAGGGAGGGAAAGTTCCATGGTGCTGCAAGTCTCTGATTTGAAAGGAGATTCAGTGCTTTACAACAGTGCCATCTCCATTTGTCATTGCTTTGTCACRCTTACCCTTTTTGCCCATCTATTCATGTGCTGCAATAGAAAACTACCTTGTAACACATGACTGAAAAGAACTGTCCCTTTTTAAATTTAGGAACACTCAGATCTCTGCAACCTTCTGGCTTGCTTGGGTATTAGTTTGATGTGCTSCTTTATAGACCAGGTTGCATATTAACAATCCTTAACCTCATAAAMCCCCTGTTTGACACCCTCTGCTTCATTTGCATTCCATGTGCTGCGTGGTGGCTTGCTGCAGGAATTTATGTTGATGAAAGTTACCCATGATGAAAACTGCCTGTCTGTAAACGTTGCACCACAGCTGGAGAGCTGTAAGCAATACAGGGGAAAATACTACCCATAATAAATTCGATATTGTAATTGCATACTGTTAAACAAGTAATCCARCATTCCTCTCCTGTTGTATTTTTAAAGGGTGAACCAGGTTTCATCGGTCCACAAGGAGAACCTGGSTTGCCAGGGCTACCAGGAACAAAGGTAAGGGTGATGGGCCAGTGCTCTGGTGTGAAGCCCCTAGAGCTGATGTCAGATTCAACTTCCTCAGCACATAGCACAGGCTGAGATTACTGTTGGAAAAATGCAAGAAGTCATGGACCAGTTCTGTGAGATATATAGGTATATAGATATTGATCATCTTTTTTCATGTTAGAATCCCAGAATTTACAGCCTCTGTTCAAGAAGCAGAATAGGCATGACTGAAGAAACTGTATTTTCATAAATGTGGGGTTTTTAGGAAAATAGCTTGGAAGTGTGTGCAGGGAAGAGAACTTTGATACCACRCATCAGATTGTGAAAATACAGATAGCCTARAACTCTGTTTCTTCTGTTGGCTTGRTTTCTTTGATCCTGCTGAGTTGGTGTGCTACAGACTGCCCAARTATTTTGTGATTTTGTGTGTCTGTTGCAATAGGGTGACAGAGGAGAGGCAGGCCCTGTTGGGAAGGGTGAGCGAGGTGAACCTGGAATCCCTGGACCAAAGGTCAGTCTGATTTTACACTGGAAATGTCTTGTTAGTTTTATACCTATGAACAGATCTTTGCCTGCTGAAAAGCAGAACAAAACTTGGTGAGTGAGCTTTTAAAGGAAAATGCTGTCAAATGCTCTCCTACAGTCCATAAGACAATGGCAGTTTTTGTGTTCACAGCTGTGAGACTGCAGTCTGAATGGACTCKTATTTGGTCTGCAAAGTAAAGACACTACCTACATACACTGTCATGGAATTGGCCTAATTAATTCCAGCTGAAGTTCTGACCTCCAGGTCCCTCATTTTCAGCATCGAAGTTTGAACTCTTTGACCAGTGTAGCTGTCAAATGCAGAGAAAATCCATTTTGCATGCTGTTTTCTAACTCTCTGAGAAAGAGATCAGTCTAACTACATTGTAGCATTGTCCTAATATTTCCCCTGGTGTTGATACCAWCAAGTTTTTCTTTCCTAATGCTTTTTGGAAACAATAAGGCAAATTTTATGCCCCTTGGCTAGTTAGTTTGTATTCACCTAAACTGTTGGGAAAAGAAATTATGGTAACACTTCATTTTCATCACCTTCTGTTAGAATATTTAACTATGTTCTCTATCTCTTGGCTATCATTTCTCAGGAGGAATGGAATGACACAGTTCATTCCTGAAAACCAGTGATAATGATGCCTACTCTTTACTAATACCAATACTACTTTTCCTTTGGAAGGGTGGAATCTGTGTTTGCAATGGTGCAAACACCATTGCACTCTAGGTTTAAAGAATATATTAATCTGGATCCTATTAAATTAAGTGTTTTTGAAGATTCATTGTCTTAGTAATATCAAATAAAGTATTTCTGCTGTTCCAAACTGTAGTTAGTCATCACTAATTTCTTTTTCTCTGCATTCCCATTTCTCTGCCATTTTTCTCCTATCTTCCTTCAAACAGGGGAAAACAGGTGAACCTGGATCTAGAGGCCCCAAAGGGTCAAAGGTTAGTAGTGAAGAAACTGTCTTTAGGGGATAATTACCACAATGATTCTTAGGATCAGTTATTTATAACATTTCACAGAAACCTCACTTGGGTCTTTAAAAGAACTTGTAACAGTCTGCAGAGTGCTTTGTAAGTGAAACCTTCTGACCTTCGATTTTAGCTAAAAAATTCGGTCAAATCATAAGGGTTTTGAGCACTGTGTTTCTAATCCTTTTTCTGTCACAACATCCATTCCACTCAGCTGTTGTTTTCCTCATGCAATTTGGTTTCTCTCTGTGTAACTGATGYGTGTGAGTCCTCCCAGCACCTGACTGTGCTGTTACTGGGGTTGCAATAATTTTGTGGATCCACACTTCAGTGAATTAGGAATCAGTGACATTCCAGGTACTGCAGGCTGAGATGTGATGGCCCAAAGTCCTACAAAGGCAAGAGTTGTTTTCTACTTTTTTACCTGCTTTAAAAAGACTATTTTGATATCTTTCCACCCATCTCTCTGTGGATATGTTTGGTCCATATATATGGAGAGAGAGGTAAAATGTATGGTTTTCTATTACTTTATCTTCTGGGCAGATACTGTTCCCACTGGATTCCTTCATGTTAYGTGATGGAGTCAAAGCAAAATGAAAATGTATTTGTGTGGGTGGTTATTGAGTCTTCTGTCAGAAGAGGGATGGCAGGACAATGTAGGCTGTGTGATGCTGTTTGCAGCACTTGTAAAGTCCTTGAAGGATAGCCTTAAGTGCTTAARGATGTGATTAAACAAGTGCCATTTAACCTCATTCATTTCCCACCAGAAAGAAGTGTTGGAAGGCAAGGGAACTGATGAGGGGGTTAAATCATCAGAGTGAGAGTAGGAGAGTAAATCAGCCTCTCATTTGATGACAGTATCTGAGCACGTCACAGATGCACCAAAATTATAAAGATATCCCCTCTAATTCCTTTTTTATCAAAAAAGGATATATGATTTTCATTTTACCTGTGTACCTGTCATGAAAATCTGGCCCACAGAAGTCAATCTAGTGGTTGGGAACTTCATTTTTTAACAGTTCCAAAGACATGATCACTAGCTGCTGCCAAGGCAGCCCTGAAAAGGAAAGGCAGGTGGTACAACCTTGATTTTGCCCTGCCACCAGCCTGCTCTCTGTATGCCTTCATTAGCTCTGTGAAAAAWTCCTGGTTTCTGTGTGTTGTGGTGGTAAATTAATCATTCTTCCCTGACATTTACCAAAGTCCTCTAGATTTCAACAGGAGCAAATGTTGTGGTTCTTACCAATATTAATTTTGAGTAATATAAAAAGATGAGACCTTACTGTGAAAGTGACTGTGAAATGAAATGAATTGTGGATGCTGGTTTATGAATGCCTACACATTTCAAATTCCCTCCATCCTTTGAAACATATTACTAATAGCCAGAAAGAAAAAGCTGTGTGCAAGTTGGTAATGATCTTAAGTCACGGAAAGGGCATCAGGAAACTCTAAATCTGACAATACTGTTATGTTTGTAGGGGAGGCAGTGACTCAGAGCAGGGAAGTTCAGAAAGTCAGTGGAGGCATGATCACCGAAAGAAAAGCTTATACATTTTGAAACAGACATTAGAAGAAGTTTTAGACAGTTTTCACACTAAGTGATTTCATTTCTCTAGTATTCTCTTCAAGCTTTTGACAATTGTGTTACTAGAAATAGGGATGTTACACAAATTGCTTAATTGGTAATCTGCCCATTTTTGGTTCTTTGGATTTTTTATTGCAAACCAATACAATACTCTAATAATTCACACAGAATCAAATGCATCATTGTCAACTGTGCCACTGCACATTTTTTTGAAGGACTTTTCATTAAGTAAGATTCACATTCAGGATGAGAGGTCTTATCAACCAGTTTATGTAAGAAAACATATTTAAAAGGTAAGAACCACCTAATGTATTATCAWATGGAATATCTTTTTTTTTCAAATATCATTTTTGCATAGGGTGACACAGGTGAAAGAGGTGACACAGGATCTGCAGGTCCACGGGTAAGTCTGCYTGTCATCTCAGCTCTTTGTGTTGTGCTCTTAGATTCAGTCCGTGTGAACTGAAATTGTAGCTGTAGTTCTCATTAAAACTCYATGTGAAATTGGGCACTTGACATTGTTGGAGCATGGTTGCTAACTGGCCTTTAATGTGACTTACATCAATTTGGAGCAGTCTCTTACCCACAGTTGTGGGCAGGATGTTTCTAGCCAGATGTTCTGACATTGCTCACAGCCAGTACAGAACTAGGGTGTAAAAACTGCTTAAATGTCTTCCCTCAGAGGTTTCATATATTTGCTTTCCCACTGCAGTGCAAGTCAYTGTATGCTGACTTGCTTATTTATATTTATAAAAGAAAACGTTTTGCTTTGAAAGCAATCTTCACTTTAATTCTAACATCTGTATTTTGTGATAGTATATTGTAAGTACAGTAAGAGTGCCACACCACACAATCAAATCAAAGTATGTTCTGTGGTAAGAGTCTAAAATAGTCCTTGGCAGTTGTCTCAAAATTTTATTGGAAAATGTATTACAGGGCCCACCTGGACAGAAGGGTGATCAAGGTGCAACAGAGATAATTGATTATAATGGCAATATCCATGAAGCTCTGCAGGTATGCAAACATTACAAGGCTGAATTGGCTTAGTCTGGTCTGGGAAAAAGTCATTTGACAGCAYTGTATTTCTCTTTTGCCTAGAGCTTGAAAACATTTTGTGTGCAAAGCATTTTGTGTGCAAAGCCATTGAGCTTATTAATGAGGAACCACTTTCTATATTTGGAAACCAGGTTTTCTGTTTGGTGCTAGACAAACTGTTTCCTTGATACAAATTATCTGAGTGAATTAGTTTCACATTCCCTGGAGAGTACTGACATCATCTAATGAGGACAAAACTAATTCATTGCTGGCTTTCTTGTTCAGTGCTGAATTCATGTAATAAATCACATACACAGTTTCAACAGAACTATTTCCTTTTAATTCATGTATTACAATATTGATACTTCTTTTTTTCATTGTTTTCCTCCTCTTCTTCCTATAAAATGCAAAGAGCAGAATATTTGAGATTTGGAAACCACGTAGCATGGTTGCATTAGCAAGCTGTGGATTCAATCAGCAACTTGAGTACATTAAGTAGACCAAACACCCGTCTTTTCCCTTATTCATTTCTGGAAAACCTATTTTGACTGGTGTGCAGAAAAGTGTGGAGGATTAAAGTGGGGTTACAAAAAGAATGAATGAGTGTTTGCATGAAAGCAAAGGACCACGATGACATATGTCATTGCAGTCAAGGTGATTTACATTGCAGCATACTCAGATGMAAATTCTGTGCAGTATAACTCCACCAAAGTGAATGGCTTGCTTATGTGAAACTGAAGACTGGATTTGGCTCATTGTGCGTCTGATCACTTTCTCACTGAAGACRGTGAACTTTTTTCTTGCGTTTACTCAGTGGGAGTGGGTAAATGTCTGACCAGTCATTTGGTTTTCAAGACTCTTTCAAAAAATCATAAAAAAAAATCTCACTGCCTTTACTAAGATCTGAAAGCCTTATAGGCTGCTAAGGCTGAGCCCACTCTTTGATTGTGCCTGTGGGGAAGTCTGCATAGGCATGTTGTGAGGCTCTGCATTATGTTTGCCTCATTTGGTTTGCTTGCAAGGGAATTCAGACTCACAACTTTCAGTCATCTAAATCCCTCCCTGMGTTACATGCCTAAAGTAGCCTGAAATTAATGTTGTGTATTACCAGACAGAGATTTACCAGGGGCTTTAGCCCCTGTATCTTCTGTATTCTGTCTTTGTATCTTAACTCTGGCACCAGTGTTACTTTCAAGCTTCCTCAGAAAAACTGCAGCACATAAAGTAGTCTTAAAAGTGGACTAAAGCCTTTTGCAGTGGTTGAGACGTATTAGGAAGCCTTTACCTCATTGCAAATCATTCCAAATGTCATCACCTTCTGATCCAGGGTAACAAATAATTGATATTAATGGGAATGGCTGTGCAAGGAGGGTGTAAGTAAGATTATATAGGATCAGTCRAAAATATCCTTGCCAAATCCAGCTCAGTCTTCAGATGGCAAACACCCATTCCTAAGTCTCCTGGTGCCAAATTCTTAGGGGCTCTGAGATTTGCAGTTCTCTCACAGAAGTACATGAGAACTTCCAGTTCTCAGCTCAGAGCTGTGAACTTGGCCAGTGGATTTAAGAAGTTGACAAGAGTTTGCAAGATTGTCTCATGTTAGAATTTAGTAATAAATCATGAAGCAGTCCAGAAATTTAGTTACTTTGCCTTGTGCCTCCTATTCAGTCTCATGCGTGATCTTGACATAGAGGTTTGAGCAAGACCCCTGCTGAGAGTATGTGGCTTTTACTTGGAGGACAAATACAAAATTTGTCTCTTTGTCAGAATTGCTCTTCACACCTATTCTGCAGAATTTCCCAGAGCAAAAAGCAGTAGTTTTCYAAAGTTTCACCTTTGTAGGAACTGCATCATTAGATATTAAAATATCTGCCAGTGTAAAGGGGTGCGTCACTGTGAGCATGTAAACAGTACTTTGCAATGGTTATTTTAGCTTTTCTTACCTAGATAAACTCAGCTTCTCAGTATCTTAAAAGTTTTTGATACATTCTCTTTAATATGTTGAAATACAAAGGATATGAGTGTATTAAGCCTTTTGTTCAAGTAATTGTACTGAGTAGGCTCCARATCTTTGCCAACAGTATGTATTGTTGCTTTGATACAGGAAGATTYTTTCAAAGCTTCTTTTAAAACAGAAGATCTGCAAACCTTTATTTGCACACTGGATAACARTTAGAAAAGCACAATATTTCTTGTTCCATGTAGGCCAGTAAGTTCTTCACAGGCAAAAGGAAAGCATATGCAAGCTGCAATATTCAGGGTTTGAAAATATAGACAAGCATTTAAATTACTTTTAAATACTTTTCAACTTGTTTTTAGAGTCTTTGGCCAAAAGAAATAGTGACAGGTCAAGATATTTTTCCTCCCTCCATGATGAAAATATCCTTTGTCTTTCCAAGCACTCAAAGCAGGATTGTAGTATATATAGCTGGGTTGTGGACTGGCAGTTTTCAATTTAGAACTGCATTTTTACATGGAAATTAATGTTATTATCTTCACTTTAGGAATCGTATTTATTAGTCGAATTTTGTTGCAAAACCTGCAGACATTACTAAAGAGGGCTAGTTTTTTGGTCAATTTCAGACACTCATTATGTTTCTTTAAAAGTTTAAAAARCACCTTTTTGAAGACTTTTGCTTACATTTTGCAATCTAGTAATCGTTTTTTTTGATCTCTTAAATGGTACAAAAGTAGCACCGATTTAAAACCCTAATTCCCAGAGAAACCAAACAGCTAAYACTACACCAAGAGTTAAAAATAAGACGAATTTTATTAATGTTTTTGAAGGCACAGTGTCTCACAAGTGCAGTGTAGGTTCTGTGGAGATTGTAACTGTAGCAAACAGAATTGTTTGTATCATTGTTTAATTCTGCTACTGACAACTCCTGTTAATACATTTTGCCGACAGAGGATTGCCACCCTGACTGTCACGGTAATTYCTGCTGCATGACTTTCTGTGTGTTGTGAAGCTTCTCTTTCGTGTTGCAGCATGTTCATAATTCTGCTAGCTCAGGACATATCTTCATTGTATGCCAACCTGGTTCATAATAACATGTGTTGGCTTCTTTGCTTGGTGTTCCCATAGCAGAGAACCCATTGTTGAAAGCCATCCAACAATGGAACCAATTCTGCTCCTGCTGAATTAATGGCAAAACTTCATTTAAGTACGAGACTGGGAAAACACATTCTTCTTTTTTTGTTTCAAGTTCTTCTCTGCAAAATTGGTGTTAGTCGTATTTTCCCATCTGTACATAGCCTTTCTTTATATTAATGCAGGGGATTTAAAATGTTGTTCTGGCATTTTTTAAAGGGTCCCTACTATGCACCATTCAGGCCAGTATTTTATAGATGACTGTGTGTCCTCAGCCTGAGGCAGAAATGAAAGAAATGGTTAGAGTTTATTCCATGGCAATTTCACAAAGCACAGAGTATCCCCAGATGCACTTAGCATCTTTTAGCAGAATCCTCTTTGCCATTGGTTGGAGATTTCTGCTGGTCTCAAATTGTTTTGGATCAGGCAGCGAGGTTTGACGAATATGACTGAGGTGAGTTTTGGTCTCCCTTCCATTAAGGGAAGCATTGCCATTTCATCAATAGGAGCAGAGGACTTTATTATAAAATATGAGCTGTACCGTTATTTTAACACTGTTTTTTGTGGTAGTGTTGTGGTTTTTGAGAGCTGTTGCAGGTTAACAACTGGTCCATAACTGGTGTTGGTTCCCCTTCTGTTAAAAAGCTAACTCATTTTGTTACAGTAGCTATATAAACATTCACCCTGTGCTAACATGACAAGTTCTTCAGGAGTTTATTTGAAAACTGAGAGGTTTGTATGTTTCTGTTTAGGGACCACCAGGACCACCAGGACCCCAAGGGCTGCAAGGGTCAAAGGTGATCTTCCTTATTTTACTCATTGTATCTTAAGGGTGGACTGTTTTCTGTGGTTTTTTGTTTTGTTTTTTTTTTTAAGGATGTACACACAGAGGTAAATGGAGCTTTTCAATAAGTTATTAACTGTAAATTTATCAAATTTGTGGCATGTTTCCAACTTTGTATCCCAGATTCTTTAAATGTAGCTTTCCAGAATAGGTGCTTTGTTTTGTTGCCCCACACAAATGCTCAGCTAAGAACCAGCAAAATTAATTAGCACTGAAAGAGTGCAAAAGCATCTCACTCAGGGGTCTGCACTGAGGTTGCTCCCTAGGACTTTGCAGAGCATCCACACAAACAGAGAGTGGCTCCCATGCCTCACTTGTGGCTGAGTGGGAATGAGGTGGGCAAAACWGTGTGCAAGACACCGCTGGCCACTGCGTGAGTGTGTGTGAATGCAGCTTTTATGGCACGGGGTACCCACCCAAATAAATACTGTATTGTCTGATGTCAGTAAAAATTACAACATCCACGTGTGGGTGGGAGCCTGGCTGGAAACCCAGGCCTGCCCATACCACCTGGCTGGTGCTTACATGCGGTACAGAAGGGTTAGTGAGCAGCCCACACAGACACAATGAATACCATATGCTGCACTGTTCTATAAAATTTAAATAATAAATTTTCCCATATTTAAAAAAAAAAAAAGAAGTGTTGAAGTTAGTGGACTCTCCCTGAATGCTTTTAAACTAATGAGATATTTCTCCYATTTCTTAAATACTGGATACTGCATCTTCTCCCAGTGTCTCTRAGCTCTTCCAAGAGCAAATAGCTGCATCTTCAGTAACAACACTAGACATTTCAATTTTAGACTTCATCCAATATTTCATGTGGAAACATGTCACAATACACACATTCATTGTTTTGAGAAATTGTGAGAAACAAGGTTCATTCTATGTGAAAATTGATAATAAAGCAATAGTTAAGTGTACAGAAATTGCTTTTTGCATTATCATCTGCTCAGCATTTCTACTTCTCCTATAAAACACAGGAAAGTGGAAGTGTGGGAGAGGTTGTGTTTCTTCATATAGGTGAGCATTCTTGTTCAAAATTTACAGCATAGAGCGGGATTCAACATTAGGAGTTTGTTTCCAACATCATAGACTCCAGTCATCAGTATAACTTGCTCCCTTAGAGAATGCTGCTCAGGAATGGTCACAGGACAATGTTGTGAATGTGACTCCTTCACTGGGTCAGAGAAAAAAAAAATCATGAAGTCTCTCTCTACCTTACATAAATCGAGAGGCATGATTCCGTATTTATGCTGGTTGCAGGCAAAGTTTCCATTGGGTTGGGCTCTTTTCACCTCTGGGATTTTGTCTTCTTTTTCTTCCTTTTGTGCMCTTGTGTGGCCTTTATACAGCCCAAAGCTGTGCAGTGTCATAATCAGCTGAGCTGTTCATTCAGTGTAGGTGAGAAATACATCCTGGGTTTTTTGACAGAATCGTCTGTGACTTTGTTGCTGTTACTGATGGCAATTTCTCTGGCTCTTTYCTCTAGTGTCTGGGACAATTGGGATAATCCAGTTCCATCTTATCTTTTTTAGGGTGAACCAGGATCCCCAGGAATTCCAGGAGCTGATGGAGAGCAGGTAGATTTTGTGTAAATCATGTAGTGAAGAACATGTAAGCAGCTGTAGTTTGTTTAAAGAGATTATTTCTGTGATACCAAGTTGTGACTTGGACTTCATAATCGAAATAAAAATAGGATAATAATAATAAAGATAATTATAATGTTGCTGCATACTTTGTGATCTAATAATGTCTGCTTTTCTGCATTTTAATAGCAAAGGTATAACTTGCACATGACTTCTGGTTGCTAAGATCAAAGCTAGAATTCTGTTGGGGTCTCTAGTGTTCTGCATGACTTGCTCAATAAGTCCATATTTTAGGGTCCTAAGGGCTCAAAAGGAGACACAGGTGATCCTGGAATGCCTGGAGAAAAGGGAGGAATTGGGCTGCCTGGCCTACCAGTGAGTATGAAAAATTAATTAATTAATTTTAGCAAAAAGACTTCTTTTTTTTTTTTTTTTTTTTCCTCTTACACTATCAGGAAATTTGAACAGTGCTAATAAATTGCAAATGGGACAGAAAGCACTGGGGAGAAAATCCTGAGAGTGTTCTGCAGCTAATCTAGGAGAAGTAGTAAAACTTTTCAGAACTTTTCATTCTACTTACAGTGAAAAAGATGCTGTGTCAGAAAGGAAGAGATTGGTTGGCAGGCTGACCAARGTTGTACCTCTCTTGTATAGCTCACCTTGGGCAAGTGTAGCCTGTAGGAGAAAGCAGCTATATTTTGGACAGAAATTTCAGGTGCCTTAGATTGAGGAGGAAGAGAAAATGCATTAATATTATGGGATGCATTCTTCCTATTTGTATATATGTATGTATGTGTATATATGTATACATACAAACAAAATTTCTCAGCAAAAAAGAGAAACAATTTTAAAATTATATCCATAGTACAATAGATCATGAACGGAGTTCCAACTTAAGGAATTGTCATAAATGTCATGCCACAATTGATAGCTATCAATATAAAAGCATGTATTTATATTTGTTAAAAATTATTTATATGGTAGTCCAAAACTTTTCTCAAAGGATTTCCTTTATATATGTGCTGTGTTGTTCTGTTTTAAAGTTATAATTATTTKCAAATAAATACTGTCATTTCTAGACTGATTGCTAATAAGATTAAAGCTGTTTATGAACGCTGTTTTGTATGATTTTACAGGGAGCCAATGGCATGAAAGGCGAGAAAGGTGACGTTGGTTTGCCTGGTGCCCAGGGTCCTTCAGTAAGTCTTGGTGTGGCATTGCAATGAATGCGGGAGTCCAGCAATGGTTCTCCAGCTTCTGATTCTGAGCAGCACTTGGTATTCGTGCTGATCTTTCCTGAGAATGAACAGACTTCCAGTCTTTGGTTTAAGAAATTTTAAAGATTTAATTCCTGTTCTGTTCCATTCTATGACTATGAACAAGTTATAGGCTTTGACTGAAGCGAGCTCTGGCTCTGTAACAAATCAAAAGATAAATGAGGAAAAAAGAAAAAAGTCAAACCAATCATAATCTCTCTCAACACCTTACACTCTGGGAATCTCTGATAGTCCAGTGAGAACCAGACTAGGCTGACTTCAGATGTGTGATGAGACCAGACATTCTTCTGTTGTTTTTTTTTTCAAAGCATTTTAAAGGCATTTAAAAAGCAAACAAAACCAAAAACCAACCAACCAAAAAAAAAAAAAAAACCAAATGAGCTGCTACATAGTAGGAGATGGGTGACTAACATGATCAGAGCACAGTGAGGTGGGAGACCTCAGAGCAGGGGTTAGTGACAGAAGCCATAGCTCTGTGTGGTCAGAGAGGCTGCCCTGTGCTGTCACAGGACAAGAAAGCACCCTACATCTCTGAGTTTCTTTCTCAGAGAAATGAAGATTAGCTTGTTACTCACTAACTCATTCATACTGTTCTACATATTTTCCCTTGAAGAAAGACTTCAGAGTTTTCAGGAGATTTCACAGATGGTGGAATCCGTCTTACATTTCAAAGTGCATCTTGCTGCTCGTGCCACCCCCGACAGCTACTCTAGCAGTGCATGAATCTGGAGACCTGATTTAGCATCCCTGCTGCCACTCTGCAGCTTATGGTGGCAACCCTTCGGGATTAAATCCAGGAAGAGAAGTGATATATGAGGATGTATCTAAGCTGGATAAATCATCATGAAATTCTGTCTGTGGATTCCTTACTAGCACAGAAAAACAATGCAGAATATGCATGCACTAAATGCTGAGCAGCCTGATTGCCTATTTTAATGCCCTCAGAGCATTTTTGGTACAAGTGGGCTAAACAAAATAAAAGGAGAGACAAAGGACAATTCTGAAAATATATCAAAGCCTAGCTTGAATTTACTATCTTTTCCATTCATCAGTATTGAGGARGAATAAAATAAAACATCATCATCTTCTGCTCTGTAAATTCAGTAGTACAAGAGAGAGCTAAAGAGCACATACCATAAAATATTAAAAGTTCAAGCATCCCTGCTCAGTATTGTTTGTTTTACAGAGAGGTACTTTTTTCCCCCCATAGTGTCTTGAAGAGTATCATAGACCTTAGGAATAAGAATCTGSAGACAGGCATGCTGCCATATGGCACAGGCAAATCTACAGTTGGGGTACCCTGTCTTTCAAATCAAAATAATTCCCATTCCAAAAGCCCTGTCTAGATACGCTGTCAATGTTCACTGTTGCATTGCTATTTTTGTAAGTGCTTGCCAACAGATGAAGGGTCAGCCTGACTTCTGGGATTTTTGTGGGAGGTCTTTGCTCTGCATAATTTAATACCATTGTTTTTTATCTGTAGATGATAGGACCACCTGGACCACCAGGGCCACATGGTCCTCCAGGCCCTATGGTAAGCTTGGGAAAAGCAGAAGAGGGGCTAGAAATGGTTTAAGCCCTCTTGCCACTTTATTGCCTGCTTATTAAAAGTGTTATCAGAATATGTGGCYATTAAAGAGGGGATCTAATTTGGAAATTTTTTTGCATGTCTTAAAATTCACAGGAAGTGAAGAAACAAATTGCACCTTCCTGTGTTAGTGTTAACATGCTAGTGGTCTGKTTTTTCCTCGGAATCAGGTGCTTACAGTTCCTTTATTGACAGCTGCATTTCTTTTCARAGTACAGAAATAGAGGGGTAACTTGCATCCCTAGAAAGCAAAATCACTCTTCAAAAAATTGCGATGTATTTTCATAATGAAAAATGTTATCTTTATTTTCAGGGACCTCATGGACTGCCTGGCCCAAAGGTAAATTAATGCCTCTCTAGAATAGATGGGCTCTTTAWGTCTGCAAAGTGTCATGCCTTGCTCTTGAATGCATGCAGCTATGTTTTGTCATGCCCCATTTAGTAAAYGTTTCTGATATTCTTAAACCTTAAAGCAGATTTTAATATTAGCAGCTTAAAAGCTGTTTTAATTTTCTATGATTGTTTCTGAGTAGTATTTCTCCTCAGCATTGGCTGAGTCCATTTTTTTACGAATAGTCGGGATGAGGCACTAAACTGTTATCTTCCTGCTTATGGGCAAGCTACCATTGCACTTGGAATTACTTTGGAATACAGAACAATGTTACAGGCTTGGGAAATGAAGGCAGATAAACTCTCCTTMATTTATGCTCTCGTATCTCCTGCCACTTCCAATGTCCATGGCCTTTGTTAGGTGCTGCTGTTTTGCTGACCAGTTCCTTCCCATGTTATGCTGGCTCACCATCACAAACTGATGTATTTTTGTGTTTTCCAATGGAATTCATGATCAGACAGGTCTACAATACAATTTGAACATTCTSCATAGCATAGTACATGCAGATATTATTTAGGGGCTCTCTTAGCCCGTGTGAACAGCTCAGGAGAGTGGAAGTGAATTTTGGCAGAGTTGGAATATTTTAATTTGTACCTTAATTCAGTAGTCACCAGTAAGCTAAAATTCAGCTTKACTGTAGCATAGCATTCATTAAGGCCAGTCATCTCGTCAGGCATGATCATTTAAATCACCATGGCTCCCTAATCACACCTCTCTCAAAAAGTAAGGAAGAGGAGGAGAGGGGGTGTATGTTTAGTTTGGGGGTTTATTTTGGGTTTTTAAAGGTGTGAGATAGAAAATCACMGGTTTGACCCCTTGTGAGATGCTATTACCTTGGCTCCAGAAACCTAAGTCATAAATCATTTTTTGAAATCCAGTATGTTCCATCTGAGCACCAGCCCTGCTTTACCTCAGGCTCTTGGCCTGAGACTCAGGCAGTTGTAGGATTTCTCAGGTCTGTTTCCAAAACTTCAGYGTTTCCAGCGCTACTGCTCTGAAAGTCACATCGAGTCAAATAGAAGAATGAAGAAATGACTACTTAGGGTGCAAAGCAGGCAGATGATGTCTGGAGTTACTTAAAGGAGCAGACTGGGTTCTACTGAGGTTTTTTTAAAAATATGAATATAATATAAGGTAACATAATACATCAAAGGGAAATCTAGCAATGAGGCCATGGGGAGCAGCCTGGATGAAATACCCACGTAGTTCTGTTTCCCAAAAGAGGCAGGTGTGGTCAATACTCTCTTTGACTGAGCAGCCCTCATGCTGATGCAGTTTTTCGTTATGAGAGAATGATTTATTGGCAGCTCTGAGCCCAGCATTATCATATTAGTGATGTTTAATGTAATAGCCTATGCATAATTTAACAATCACAACAAGTGCCATTTCTGAGTTGTTAAAATTCCTCTGTAGGAACACAGAAACTGTCGACCCCCCAAACAGCTTGGCTGTCGACAGTAACTGTAGACCCCCCCAAACCTGTACTGTTTCTTTAAACTTGTTACTGTTTRTTATGTATGCTTAAAGGTTTAAAATATCTTTACCTAAGGTTTTGCTGCAAATTCCAGTTTACTGTAAGGAACAGTATTGCTTCTTTACCAAATGTACTTTACAGGAGATCCCGCTATAAAAACCTACAGTTTTGAGGCTTATTTTTATGAACGTTTTCTTTCAGTTTGAATTATCTGCATAGGGTGGTTTATGGGATTTGAGGAATTTCCAAAACCCCCTGAAACTCATGCTTAATTCAAACCATCTAACTATAGTGATAATTATTAGGAAAAGATTTAAAAAATCTGTTACCCATAAGTTTCCTGTAGTTTTCTTTTCACACATTTTAAATCTCCAGCAGACACCTCCCAAGTACTTTTAACCACTACTAAACCAGTATGTAAATTRACAGTAAGCTGAGAAGGTTGAATTTGTGTCAAACTGGAATTTGCAGCTATTTGTGAGACTGGCTTCTTCTATCCTGGCTTAAGCACCCATTATAGCACCAAAAATTTGGCATTTATACTTTTACGTTTAGGGTGAACCAGGGTTAAATGGTCTTAAAGGATTGAAGGGTGAACCAGGTCAAAAGGGTGACAGAGGGCCCCTTGGTCTTCCAGTAAGTAAAAAACCCCAACTATTCAATTTCAGTACGAATCACAAACATCTCTTTCTACTCCTAATGARCCACTCTGATGTACTCAACAGCATACATAGAATTTACCATGTGGGAGCAGAGCTTCAGTCTTGTTTTGTTTTGTCCCAAATCTGTGCCATCATCCCAAGTAACGTCCTGTAACACCCTGTCAAAGGKTTTTTTTTTGTTGTTTGTCAGTTGAGAGTGTTCAGTGTCCCAAGGATGTCATCACCCCCATTACATGAGTCGTGCTGTTATTTAAGTGTTGTATGGTGTTTCCATTAAAAAAGGAGTCTTCCCTTTCCCCGTCTCCTCAGTTATTCTTCCTCTGATTTCCCTTCTGCAGTTAAAATGGAGAGGTTTAGTTGAGAAAAGCTAAAAATTGGCTCAGGGTATTTAGGGTTTTTTCCCCTGGATTCTTACCTTTTCCCTTGTTCTTTAGAAAATTTCTGTTCTGAGTGTTCAGCATAAATTTTGTTTCAGAAATTAAGAACTTAAAAAATATGGAAACATAACAGTTCTTAAAACTTAAGTTGCTGAAACAGAAAATACTTTATGTATTTGAAAGCATGCTAAAAAGGTAGCTTTATTTTTTTTTTTCTCAGGAAAAGAGTTAATTTTCCCCTTTTGCTGCTGTTGTTATTGTATGAGGATTGCTCCCAGTGATTACATCGTTAACAGTAAAATTGAGAAAAAAGACTTAGTTGACCCAAGAGAACACAAACCCCTCTGATTAATATTTTCAAAAATTATGTGCAGGGCCTCTTGACAAGGTCAGCTTCACTGAGAATTTTAATTTATTTTGAGGAAGAAAAAAAAAAAAAAAAAAGCTCATTTACACATTGACAGTTACATCTCTGTAGAGAGTGAGCCCTGGAGGCCTGAGCAGATGCCCTGAAAATGGCTACAAGGTAGAAGAGACTCCAAAACAAAATATGCTACTAGGTTTTCCAAATTCACACAGATCTTGTGTGAATCTCTTCTAAATGTCATTTTCAGCAGCAAAGTCCACGTGTTTGGCGTTCCAAAAAATGTCTCGTTTTACTGAGTTGGTTGGAGATTYTATTTGGGTTTTTCTGGGGTTTGGTTCGGTGTGTTTTTTCAGGAGGGTGTGTTGCTCAGGTTATTCCCTGTGTCCCGACTGGCGTTGTCCCTCTGTCCCCATCCCTGCGGCGCTCCGCTGCTCTGTTATTCCCGCAGAATCCACGCGGGGTCCCCCCGTCCCCAAGGATGCTGAGGCTCCGCGCCCGGAGCGCCTGGGGCTGCCCGCTGCAGCCCTTGACTGTGCTCTGAACCGGGACTGTATCGGGAAAACAGGAAACTTGATTGTCTCCCAGCGTTTTGGAAATGAATGAGGCCATTGTAGCCAGGATCCCGATTTTGTTGGCTGTATAATACAGTATTCTTGCACTTAAACATTTCCCATCGCAGTTAACACACATTTTTTTCCTTTGTGTATACTATTCGGTATTGTCGCTATTTACAAATTAGAACGCATGCGAGTAAATTACAAAGTAAATATTTGTGTGTTATGGCTCAAAAACACCCTAACAGCTGGTGTTTGTAGCRCTCCCGTAGCCTGACAATATCCTACCCTAATGAGCTGTGATGTGAGGGCAGGGGTGGGTCAGTGATGTTTTACTGAAGGGGGGGCAGAATCAGGCTCTCGGTGTTTGATGTGTATTTTTAAACTAACATGCTGTAGTGACGTGGCACCCACTCCAGAACCCTGTCACAGCTTGTACTGTACGTTTGAATTGTGTTTGTTCATCAGCACCACTTACTAATCTCACGTTCTTGTCATTGGTGTGTCGTGCCCATCATCCATGTTCCACCTAACCACACAGGGAGCATCTGGCTTAGACGGAAAGCCAGGAGCCCGGGTGAGTCCCTTGTCTTTCTGTGTCCCTTTGTGCCCGAGTCCGTGTGCTTCCCAGGGCTCTGCCAGCCAAGCTCGCTCCCTGCACAGAAGAAGGAAAGAAGGCCAAATGCTGCAGGCATTTTCCATGCTGCATGAGAGGGGGCTTCAGTAGGGCAATATGAGTGGGAAAGAGAATGTAATTCTCTGCAGAAGGAGCTCTGAACCTTAAAAAGGCAGTTTAGTTTTGAGTTTTGGTTGGACCACTGCCTTGACCTTGACCTTGGGTTGCTGGTTTTCTTAGGGCTAGGGATTTAGGTTACAGGAGAATGTATCTGTTCAACGCTAACATGGAATCAGTGAAGGAGATGCAGATATGCTGGGGTTCATCTACAGACATTGTTATTAGACTTCATAAACRTTAAAACTTTTGCTTTCTTTAATTGTAAAGAAATCTATGCAGTGAAAGGGTTACACTTGTGACCCTTTAGTGAGATTATCATTGATCCCTTCAATAGGTAAATCTGACTTACAGGTTGACATTTCAATTTAAAGAATAATCAATTTWAAAAATAAACAGTAATAATTTTTAAAAAATCTTTCTTTGACCCTTCCATCGTCTTCCAATCRGTTTTAAATCTTTGTAAATCTGATTGCTTCTATGAATGTAGTAAACTCCCAATAGAAGACAGACAGTCTGCCTCATAACAGGAGATACTGATGGAGTTTTGAAAGTCAAATGGATTTGTTCAGCTAGGTTGGATCACAACTAAATCCAAATTTTCAGCCRGTGAAGACTGATTCCGTGTTAGCTCTTGTTTACAAGGTAGCTATTAAAACTAAAGAATTGTAAGAACAAGGCCTTCCTCTTACCCTCCTTGTTCCTTTTGCAGGGTATAGATGGCCCAGTTGGTCCCCATGGCCCTGCAGGTCCCAAAGGAGAGAGAGTGAGTATCTGTTCCATGTTACTGTCKTTACCAAATGACTGCCACCAAGGAAAAATGTCATATGGGGACTCACACTGTGCCTGGATGTTACTGAACATAACAGTGTCTCACCTATAGAGGATCAACCCAGAGCCGCATCTGCATTCTAGTTACACACACATTTATCTAAGGYTGACATTGTAATTCATTAACTTCAGGGGAGCTGGTATTTTTAAGTGACTAATCAGTAAGAAATTGACAGGACTTTCTAGTTCACAGTATCACACAGAACGTGATTTTCATTGGTTTCATTRTTTTGTGTCAATTGAGAGAACAAACTGGTACGAAAGAAGATAGTGTGATCTCATTAAGTAAGAAAGCTATGGAAAAAAAGAGTATTTCTCCCTCTATACACTTAAATGTTTTTATCCAGGACAAATATTTCCAGCCTCTGTAAAATTTAAACTTGTCTTCCTTTTTTTTTTTTAATTTTTTTTTTTAAGTTTAGAAAATAAGAGCCCTCCTATTTAAATATTCGCAGTAAATTTTCTCCAGTGGAAATAGGATAGGAGCTCTAAACTCTAGCTATGAGGCTGTCATGTTTAACAATACAACCATCAACTTACACCATGAGCCAGAAGATGATGCCTTATCCTAACTAAAACCTCCAAGGAATTGCCAGCCCAGAATTTTGTCTCTTTGACTTCCTCACTTTAACAGCAACATCAGACTAGCTGTGTTAAGGACACAGACACATGGCAGRGGTCCAGTTAGCTTCATCTGCAAAAGGTGTGATTCATTTTTACAGAGCTGTGTATTGAGAGAGAAATGCAAGACGTGCAGCACAGCCCAAAACAGACTGTTCAGCAGACTGTAATTACCACTCAGCCTGGTTAAGTGCCTGAAGGACTTGTGTATTTTTTCTGTTTTCTAAGGGATTACAGATTCAATTCTTTTTTTTTTTCTTCAATTAGGGCATAATATATCTTCAGTCAACTCTGTGAAAAGATAGTTGAATGTTATCCTCTGATCTTAAGTAAATAATTCAGTTGAGATACACATGTAGAAGTATATAAAAATACCATGCATTTTATTCTTGCATTATGAGCTTTTGTGTTGAAGGATATGCACATGTACTGCCAGTTGAAATGTCTTTGACAATGAACTATAATATAAACTATTCTTCTAGTCTGTGTAGGAGAACTAGTAATATTTTTTTCTTGTGAGAATATGCATGGTCATAAGCAATACAGCTGGATCTGGAAGAAGCCCTACACTGGCTGTTGACAAGCAGCAGCTACAAAGGGATGGGAACTGCTATGATGTAAATAATTTCAGTAATTGCAGGAGCATAGAAAGAAAACTTTGCAAAAATAGAGAGACCAAGGTGTGCAAAAAAATCCTACACATTCACCATTWTCTGTGGAGCTAAATGAATGGGAGGAAGTTCACAAGACAGACGGAAAGTTTTTTCCCAAGCAGCTTGCAAGATTATTGCTGTAATTGTTCATTTAATTATTCAATGCCATTTGGGAGGAGAAGTTGTTTGTAGCATAGTTGTGTAACAGGTGCCCAGTGCTGATACATGTCCCATTATTTAAATAACAAATCATGTCCTTTTAATGCAGTTTTACAACTTGCATTTGCAACTGTTGAACTTATTTATGTGAGAGCAGGAGRAAAACATTTTTGTCTGGAGATTTCAGAGTTTACTTTCTAATTAAAAACAGTGCATAGGGCCACTGCTCACTGTCACTGGATAGGATCACATTTTGTCTCTATTGATAAGAAAAACCTTTGGCCAGTATTCATCTAGAAGGACTTTGGGTTTATTTTACAGAAAAATCACTGATTCATTGTTGCACAGGCTGCATTTGAGGTGATGCTGAATTACTACTCTGAGGTAGAACAGACTGTTGAGCAAATTAGGGTGCATTGGTTGGTTTTCAATTTAACTACTTAATTAAAATAGAAAACATCAGATCGTTTTTATACAAAGTCTGTTTAGATGGTGAAAAGGTAGCCTAAGGACATTATGTGTGACACTATAATGTGATTTTATGCATCTTTTTAGTAGAAACTGAAATGGTAATTAWTAATGTGAATTAATATTTTATTAGGCTGGTGTCTCATCATCCTTACTAAATTCTTCAGCTATTGGAATACCACTTTGCCAGGTGCTTAGAGAGCACCTTGCTAAAACCATCTTTATTAAATGGAGTAGTACATCAAAATAGGCCTCTGAATCTGTGTACCTATTAATCTCACTTAACCACTGTCTTGAGAGAAAGTAGAGAACACTGAAAAACAGATAGACATCTTCAACTACTACTGATGAAAGGGGACATGTAAGCCTGAAGGGTGAAGACAGCCAAAATATGTATCCAACTTCTTGACCAGCTGAAGCAGGCTGAAAGCTGGGAATACACATTTTCCTTTTTTATGATTTTTTTTTATTGTTGCTGACAAGGACCTGGTTTTGACCTGATTTTGGCTTTCAGATGTGTAGCCTGTGCAGCACTGTCGTCACTAGACATGTTTAGTACCAGTAGGGAAAGTGCATTCTCTTTTAATTTGCTTAAAATGTTTCTCACCATGGCAGTGTTATGAAATCTCCCTGTCTGTCCTAATGGAGACACCAGTTAGTCACCAGTCAGCTTTATTTGTGCAATAAATAAATAAATAAATCATTTTTCCATGATTCAGGAGATTGAATCAAAATAGGAGGCAAAAACATAGGTTATGATCTCTGTTCTTTGGACACTGATGGATAGTCTCACAAAAATTAATGAAAACCTTCCTGATGTTTGCCAGTGTCTGCTTCCCTGAAGGAAATGCTTTATTGTGATGGTTGAGGGCAGTATGCTCATTACAGTCCCATCAATCTCATATAATCCATGAACATTCAGGACCTCATCTGATATTCCAGACATGTTTCAGCATGTGCTTTCTATTGGAGGCAAAAAATTCTGAGATACAGTTCTCCAACTATATTCTTACATAACAGATGAGATTCCTAGACTGAAACATTCAGTATCTTTATGTCTACCATATGTTTAGCAGTATTATAAGCCTATCTTGAGAGGACTTTGTACAGTCATCTTGCTGTTGAAGATTAAAAAAAAAAAAAGATGCCTAACTAGTCTTGACATATTTCTAGTATTGATCAAAGAGTTTTGTAGTTSTTACCTACATAGGTCAGGGCATTCATTTCTTCTTAGCAGAAAGCTTTAAAGGTGCAAGGGATTTAYTGTTTTGAAAATCAGCTGTTACTTCCCAGTACCTCCTATTGCTCTGCCAGGGCATCCAGCCTAAATGCTACTCAGAAATCAGCTGGGGAATAACAGAATCCAGAAAGATCTGACATTGGGCATCTAATTATCACTAGGCTAAAGCAAGTGTCCATCTGAGTGAAAATATGAAGTATTTAAAACAGTTCAAATGTTGGTTACTCTGACAAACTCATTGCTTATGGGATTTGGATTACATAATAATTGAGGATATTCATCCACAGACTAAGGTTCAGTTTGCTCTGATGCCTGGCTTTTTATCATTCAGTCAATGAAATTTAAACTTAGCAGCCCATTTTCAGAGCTTTGACAAGTCCTTGGCTGTGCTGATGGATACCACTATTAATTAGGTACACATCTACGTCTCTGTCTTGTGCTTGTAATGATAGAGTCATTAATGAATTAATAATAAGTAATAAATAACACAGAAGATGTTGTACAGAGGATAAAAAAGTGACTACTACTGTCAGCCTTGCAATTTGTCACCTTGAAATTGCATTCCATTTGGAAAAGTTTACCCTGTATTAAGCTTGCAAAGTGATTTTGGCAGCACTGCTGTGGAAACTGGTAATTTTTCCATGGATTTTAATGCAGAAAGAGATCAGACTTCTGGAGTAATCTCTGTACTTGTTTATCTTGCATATTAATACAGTTTTGATTTTAATAAACCACAGTTTTGATTTTAATAAACCAGGGTATTTACATCACTTATCTAGAATCCAACAGAGGATTTAGCAACACAGCACAGTACATAGGATAATCTTCACAATGTCACTGATAATAGCATTGCCTACTTAAATACAAGCTTTGACTGACACGTTTTTTTCCTGTCACCATGTAGCATCTCAGCTGCTTTGCTGGAGCTTGATGCTTTATGTCCTCAGTTTTCATTACAACATTAGATTTTTACTGAGAGCCACGTTAAGCTGTTAAAAGCTTCAACTTGACACAAGTGCAAGTTCAGTTGAAAAATATKTTCAGTTACTACTGTATTTAAAAACGAATGTGATATCATGTGCCTAAAAAGTCATTTTGCCTAGAAAGTAATAGACACCTTTTCTTTCCCCCTTAAGCATTTAGTAAAAATAAATGAGCTTGAATATTTTTCACTCAAAACACTTAGGAATGCATAAACTCTAACCTAAAGCACTKGGTAGAGATCCTTGCTGAGATAGCCCATGTTTTTGTTTGCTTGTTCTGTAATCTTTCCTTAGGGTGAGAAGGGAACTGTAGGTGACCCTGGACCCAGAGGACCGTACGGCTTGCCTGTAAGTGCCACAGAGATTGTACACACTGCACTTTTCATCCCTCCCTGATTAAGCTTCGTGTGCTTTATGGCTGATTTTCACYTAGCAGCAGAATTAGTTGGAAAAGGCAAAGATAGATAATAAACCCTGACAGTGCAAGGTCAGTGGTCTGGRTGACACTCTGAGGTTCCTGCCCATGGAGGGAACAAAACAGACCTGATGTGAACCAGCAAGAGAGGAAATGCAGAATGCAGGTGCTCCTGTTTCAGCAGCCTTTGGCCATCAGCTGCCTGGGGACTGTGCAAGAGTGCCAGGAGTTCAGGATGCACTGGAAAGCTGTGAATTTCTTGATGTCACTAAGCTGTTTGGATTTCCATGCTGCAGGGCCTTTTCACCATTATATTTTTGTGTTGTTTGACACTTCAGAGACTCATGGTATTTTCATTTCTGTGCCATGTACTCAGAAACAATGTGAGAATTTCATTGTTCCTCCTTCATGGGTGGAAATTATGTGCTTTAAATCAATTATTTTAATTATATTAATTACATTATCCATATCTAAAATATGAGGGCGAATTTCCTTTGACCTGACTAGGATCTCCCCAATAAAATCAGGGAGTTGACTTTCCCTGTTTACACTGCTGATGCTGGGTCAGGTGTGTACATACACACATTTCTGTTCCGTACTTTGACGCAAGGAAAGCCATGTGGATGTGCTTGGCCAGGCACAACCAGCCTTTCCAGGAGACTTTCRATGTTTCCATACCCTCTCCAGTCTAATCTGTTTGATTAATTAATTTAAGCTGGAATACAGACCTGTGGTTTAATTGGATCCATTTAATTGGATCAGGAGTCAGTGGCTAGAGACCATTTTCAGGCTCCATGGAGTGTTAAATTAGCTTGCCRTGCATTTTTATCTGAGGGTCACTTTTGTGAGTTAAATTGAAAAAATAAATCCAATTTCTCTTTCCTGTTCCTGTAAACTAAAAGTAAAAAATTTATCGGCTTTCCTGTATTTTTAGCTTGCTCCTGGAATATGCCTACAAACAAAATTTTACAGCCAAGCAAAATTTTGCAGCCAGGTTATCAGTTCCTGGCAGTGTTAAACACGGGCAGTGGTCCTTGTCTGAGGGATGCTAATGCAGTTCCTGTGGTTCTTTGGCAGGGCAAAGACGGCGAGCCTGGCCTTGATGTAAGTAATGTGTGTGACCAGGGCACTCTCAGGGGTCGGTAAGCATCTGCCAAGAAATCCCCAGTGAAGCACAACACCTTGGCTGCCCTTTGGTGTGCATGCAGTGCCTGCAGAGAGTGTGCTGAATGCTGCATTTGCTCTTGCTCGGTGGRGAAGAGGACAAAGATTGTGCAATGTGCAGCCCTTATCGACAGACACCAGCAGATAGTAGTGCTTAGCAATACAAGTACTTGGTCCTTTGGGTGTCAGTGGGCTGAAAAACTGCTTGCTAAGAAAATGTTCAGATGACTCATTTGTAGAACAAGGAGTCACTAGCACTTAGTTAACTAAGTTTATTCTAACTAAAGAGAATGATTCCGTGGTCTGTAAGGGCTACGTTTCAAAAAGTAGGCTCTTTCCTCAGTATGTTAAAAAGACTTACTGAAAGTCTTTTTCTGTAGTCTTACACTGAAATCCCTAACTTGGAGGAGTCATTTTCAGAATGCACATGTGCTGTGTAGCRTGGATGACTGCCAGTTTGAGTGGTATGGTTTTTATTCTGTAGCTGCCAAAATRTCTCTGCCAATCTCTGTGACTTACTCATCTCAYTTGCTCTTGTGTCAGCGTGTGTCCRCACATAACACACATCTATGTATGGAGTGTGTAGTGAAATTGTCCTTTTAGGTTTTCCAAGAGTATTTAAAAACTTAATCTGCAAGTTAATAAGAGTCAACCTTTGTCCATTTTGTTTTCATAGGGTTTCCCTGGTCCCCGAGGAGAAAAGGGTGATATAGGAGAAAAGGGAGAAAAGGTGACCACAGTGTTATTAACTGTTGCTTGATTCCTCAGCTAATCAGTTCTGCTGTCTTTATGCTATAAATTGTCCCATTAAAACTTATCTTTGTTTTATTGTGTGCCAAAAGGCAAGTCACAGATACATGCTAGAGCAAAATAATGAAAAACCACAGAAATGTATGTACAGGACTAGAATACCAACATGTCCCAAAGCACAGCCCTTTTTTTAGGCTTATTTTCTCCAATCCATCCTACACTTGTGGAAAAATCCTGAAATATTTAATGCAGACATTTAGTTTTTGTGGCAGTAATTTTATTCTGAGGTGCCCAACTCTGTTCTGTGGCAGTATTTGCAGTATAATGGTTGATGCTGTTGTCCTCTGCCTGTACCTGCCACCTATCCCACACCAAGTGGATGAGACAGGAACTGTCTGAATTTTTATTTTTGGCAATGTTTTGTTTGCAATTAAGTACTTTRTGATATTTGTGGATTGAAAATAAATCATAAACTCTACCATTCTGCTAAGCCAGCTAGACAGTGAAGTTAACAGCCTTACTTCATTTTCAGTGTTCAGACACAGTGACTGGGAAATGTGTTTAGTGAAAAGAAATGCAGGACTTCACATGTGTAGAGAAACTTCATGAGCAAATCTATTTCTATCCAACACAAAGCCCTGTTGCTAAAACTCCTGAATTAGCACTCACACCAAGTCATGTATAAGTCCATGCATGCAGCAGATGATTTTTCCAGGTTAGACAAATATTTTTTTTCCAGCTGACATATGCAGGGTTAGAGTAGGTCCATTTCTCATTATGGTGTCCTAAACAAGAAGCAGGGCTAAAAAGTCACCATAGGTGCCAGAGTTCATCTCCATTTCTTAATACTGTTAGGCAAAACACTTCCCAAGAACTCATTGAAAAGTGTATTATGAAATACATACTCTTTGTGCTAAGGAGTTACAGCAAGTGCCAAATAAAATGAGCTTAACAGTGTGTTCTCATCCAGGGATACATTCAAAGGGCTCTGTCCAGAAGATAAAAATAAGTTACTGCRCCTCTCGATCAGTCCCAGTGAGGTCTCTTGAATACTGCAGAGGGTCTTTTGGGCCTCAGAGCTCAAGAAAAACTTGAGAAGTTGGAGAGTAAGAAGGTTACCAAGCTGACAAGGGGTCTGGGGCAAACACAATGGTAGAAGAGGTTGGAGGAGGTGGGCTGGCTTAGTCTGAGAGTGAGGAGGCTTGAAAGGAGAAATACAGACTGCTTGAAAGGAAAAATACAAAGATGGTGGAGCAAAACCCTTCTGGGTAACGGCAAATGGGGAAATGCAGGATCACAAGCTGCTCCTGGGAGGTTCAGAGCCATTCATGAGGAGGACAGCACAGCACAGGGACACTGCACTCAGAGTGGGACTGGACCCAGGGAGTGTTGAAAACCCGGTCTGGTGTGACCTGACCTAGGGTCAGGAATCATCCTGCTCACAACGGGAAACTCCAAAAGTCCCTTGCTACCAGGCTTTCTGCTTCTGTGTTTCCATGTACAGCTAGAGATAGGCAGACAAAATCCACCCACCAGAGCTGCAGAGGATTGCTGGAAGAAAAGATGGAAAGCTGGCACAAAGTTCACTTATACAAATATGATGTGAAAATGGAGCAGCTGAGATTCAGCACTCAGGATGTAAAAACATTTTAGTGTTCCTGAGTCCAGCATGCAGCTTTTACATACCAGTCTCTTATTCCCAGGGACTAGATAGCTCAAACATGGGTCTTCCAGTTGCAAGGGAGTGAGGGAATTGTATATGGGAATTTTGTGTGGCTCAGCTAGGCCCTTTTCAGAGTTCGGTTGTGATTTGGGCTGCCTGTGGAGACTCGTTCACATCTCCTAGGAACTCTGGTCCTCCATCTCCCTAAAAATTTATGAAAAGGCAAAATCTGTTTCCTGAGGAGAATGCATGGGATAAAGTAGTTAGCAAGTCTGATACATGTTTCAAAACCACATTATTTTATGGGCTTTCAGAAAGAGGATTGACAGGAAGTCTGTAGRGCAAAAATGGAGGTCAAATACCTTAAATACTCCCCAAATGCTTAAGGAAAGCTAAGAGGCAAAGGAAGGTCTTTCCCAGTGAAAAGTCAGGGAAGTTGTAGCTGAGATCTCTGTGGAAGAGACTTTCATTGCAGTTTTAACACATTTTTCCTATAAATTAGGGAATATTTGCATCATGCCAGCAAACTTACTTCACCGAAATTACCTTAGCTGCGTCAGTAGTTCTTTTTCTAAATGGAAAGCTGACTCTCGAAAGACACAAAGTAATGCAATTAATCCTAGTACCCATTAAAACAAATCTTCTGTGTTTTGGTGGTTTTCCTTATATAAATTACTAATTATCTGTGACCAAACTGGTGTAACAGCATCCATTTCAACAGATAAACCAGTTTGGAATAACAGATAAACGAACTGACCAGCCAGCTTATGATTTCTTGGTTTTTAAATACTTCTGCAGTATTGGCTGTTGGACTGACATCACACAAATTGAGATTAGTATTTTCTAGTTAAGAAACTTAAATTTCACTGCAAAAATACATATCATTACTAACATTCTAAATAGAACCAGTGGCACTTGCTTTTTTCATAAACCTGCAGGGAATAAATCTTTACTTAAGTTTGAGATGAGGCCTAGACTGCTGATTTATATCTTAGCCCATCAGTAGTTCTACTACAGTGAAAGCAAGTCAGTGTTTGAATTACAGTATCTTCTTAACTTGGCTGTGAAACTATTTTAAGAAGTGTTCTACTTGTAATTACTCATATAAAATCATATATGAGTCCAGGAGCACTCATCATAAAAAAGTTTTGTATAATTCGTTTTGTATTTTCAAGTTGTATGAATAGGAAAAAAAAACCCCTCCTTTCAAAAAGGAATAACCTGCAAAAAAAATAAGAGATTGTGTTGTGGGGAAAGGGAGGGAAGGGGCCCCTGGTCCCAGGTGCACAGTTGTGACTGTAATTACAGATTTTGACAGAGGAGCACAATGTGTCTGAACAGAGTATGAAAAGGCATTATCCTTCTCCTCTACTCTGCATTCATGAAAATCTGTGCATTTGAGGACTGTAGATTGTTCCACCCATAACAGTGTTGCAGAAGTGCCACAATTTTTTATCTCTCTAGGCACTGAGGAAGGACAGAAAGAAATTTTTGTTAATCTTTGTCAGATCTCTGTAACTCCCTTGGCTTTCTATAGTTCAGGATAAGGAGTAAAGATTAAAGATTAAAAGGAAAGAGCTCAGTCTGTGGAAAAGTGGTGAAGTACCCAGAAAATTCAGACTGTTTTCTACACAGGTGACTGCTGCATTGGTATAAATAAGATGATAGATCTGTCTGCAAAACTGAAAGTTGAAAATAGTTGTCTGCTGCCTTGTAACACAAGTTAAAGAAATGCAAATCCTAAAGATTTTAAAAAGAATCATAAACCAAACTGCATTGTTCATTTCAGAATCCTTTTTAGAGTAAGTCCAAGCTTTGTGCTTGCATACACTGCAAATATATTAGTGCAATGAATAGCATGAGATTTGACCCTAAGCTGTTGGGTTTCTCTGCTACATTGTCATCTTTGTAGGTTTAAGATGGAAGCGTACCAATTTATTGATCTTGCCTTGTGAGGTTTTTTTTTTCATCACACCCTTACCATTTGGTAAGGATGGGTAATGTGTGGGTTGCTGTTTTTCCAAAGATTACCCTTTTGGCACACAAAAAAGATAGACAAGTAACTTTGCTTCTGTCATGACATGAGTGCACTATGTTTTGTTCATGGAATCTTTTGTTTTATTTGAATGTGTCAAATATGCTGTTGCATTAAAAGACTAATATGCTTTCCTTCCTTTTTAAAATAAGATTTATATGATTCTYACAATATGTAAAAAAATATTTTTCTCTCTTGTTAATGGTTTAAGTCTTTCTGTACTGATGTGGAACAAGTTAAATGTCTATTTAATATGCTTCACCAAAATCCGTCTGTCTTTCCAAAGGGGCATTCCTTCCTTCTCCTTCTACCCTCATTCCTTACAATTCCTCTGTCTTTTTTACCCTTTTCCTCACAGATTAAATCCTCCCAATAGCCACAACCTCACTTGCCAGTTCTCCAATGTTACACTAATTTTCCTATGACTATTTTTCCTATTTCTTTGTGGTATTCCTGATTTACTCATCCTTCCTATCCCATTTTTTACAATCCTAGTCCAATTTGTTAGTTTTTTTGTAAGTGATCCCTTTTTGATTTTTGTGAAATTGAGAGCAACCTGAAACTCATTTACCATTGTGATCAACTGGTGTGAAATCAATTATAAAACGAACTCTCTAAACCTCTTGTACTGCTTGAAGGTGAGGTCATTTTTGCCAGTAGCTTTCTTGAGGAGAATCAGCTGATTTCAATAAGAATTAAAGCACCCAAAGTTGCCATGTAAAAAGAAAACTCAATGTGAAATCAAAGGACTGAATTTTGGTAAAACAAATAGATAAAATATTGCCTGCAGCAGGGAGAATATTTGAATGTTAAAATGCTCAAGTAAATAATCTAATTATCACTTCTGATTACTTTATGATACCAAGACAATATGAAATCATTGAAAGTGTCGTAGCACCTCTCCATCAAGCAGTTTGAGTGTTTTGATTCCTGTAACGGGGTTTGAAATGATCACGCTGTATTTGGAGTGACAGCAGTGCACCCTCAGTGATGTTAGTGGGGTTCTGTGGACACCACAGAGAACAGGATTTGTTCCAAACTCTTGCCAGAGTGCAGAGGGTCAGTTCAAGGATGCTCCTGGCCAAGTTCACCCTTGATGTGACACYGTGGGAGGTGATGGAATYGAGTCAGCCGTCCCTGTGAAGCGTCTGTGCCACAGGTCTKCTTTCARAAGTCTCTGCTGATGGATTCTGCTCTCCCAAAGTTAMTTCTGACTGGTGACAAATCCTCTGGGGAAGCTGGCAAGTTCAGCTTAGTGTGCAYGTGCCCTTCAGTGCTATCACTTACCAAAATAGGAGACCTCCTGTTTTGGACTGCGGATTGGGGGGATTTGCAGATTTGCCTCTGTCTCAAGAAATCAATGATTTCARGCCCTGTTCTAGGTTTCAAAACATTCATAATATTGATATGAAATACCAACACAAACTAATAGAGACTGAATGCAGTTCTTGCTTGTGATCATATAATTTATTTTTCCACATAATGCACCATCCAAACCAGAACACAGTGGTAAGTGTCCTTTCAGCTCTCCATTGACTTAAAAAGAAAGAACCCAGACTTTAAACCCAATCTTTCTTTATTTTTTTTTTCAAAAGAATGAAACTTGTTTTATCCAAACCATTGTATCCGCAGGGGGAAAAGGGAAAGAAAGGCAAAAAAGGGCCTAAAGGGGAGAAAGGAGAACAGGGTGCTCCTGGATTAGATGCACCTTGCCCATTGGTACGTCGCACTTGTGTATTGGAGGATCAGTCATCCTTCTGTAAACTGATGCCATAAGAAATGAGGGGAGAGGAGCAAGCACCAGCTACTGTGTAACCCTTTGTTAGGASAGCTTTATCTCAAGTTCTGGTGAAATCTGGAGCAGTTTTGTSAACCTTCTAATTTGGTTTAAAGCACCAGACTTAAGACCTTTGCGCTAAATTTGTAAGGTTTGATGGTGGGGTTTGGTTTTTTTCGTATTTTTTTCTGCAAAACACATCRGGAAGGACACAAATTTGGGATGTGCCAGATTCTGTGCCCTGCAGGTTAAAATCATAARCAGTTAGCTTGCTCCTCTTGCCTCTCTGTTGTTTCTTGTTCACTCCATTTAAGTCAATACTGAAGGCATTTCCTTGACAGTAACATTGCAAGTTAATCTTTACAAACAGGGATTCCGTGGAATTAAGGGGGAAAAAGGGGAGCCAGGCCAGCCTGGCCTGGATGGGCTGGATGCCCCTTGCCAATTGGTACAGTATTTCTCTTTCCTACCAACCCTGCATGCAGTTCCTTTGTTTGTAGTCAGCCATTTTCAATGTAAAGCAATGTTTTCCTGAGCTGACTTTACATTCTTCACGTAACACGTGCATGTGCATGAACAAACCAGCTGCTTCAAGTGACCATAACCTCAATGACAGAACACACTTTTTTGTKCACACCTTAAGCCTAACTCTCAGCAATTTGCTCCCACATCACATGGTAATTGATAAGTTTGTTTCCTTCCTACATTTTCCCTGAGAATCGTTGGTTTGTTACTTTCCTTGCAAAACACCCGTTGCCTTACTCACCCTGAACTGCAAGTTGTAGAAACCCTAATCAAGTCCAATGACTTCTGTCTGCACTGGCTCAGTTCCACACCCTGGCCTGTCCCATAGCTSCTCTGCACCCTGGATTTCCTTCCAAATCCATGCCACCTCATGGGCATGTTTTCACAATTTGGCCAAAATGAGAGCCATCCATAGAAGGATGTAAATACTGTTTCTAAAAATCAAAGTTTCCAGTAAGCCAACCTGGAGCTTGGCTTCCAGACCATGCACAAGTAATATTTGTGGTGTGTGGCCTGTTCATCAGAGCATTCAAATACATCTGGAAATGAAAAGCCTACCTGAGGTTTGTAAGAAGATAACGGTCTGCAGCCCAAACCCTCACTGTCTTTGTTATTTAATGTCCTCAATTTAATGGTCTTACCCTTGGAACTTACCTTCCTGAATACACACAACACTCCCCATCCTATGCTAGCATGAATTCAAGTTCCCACCTATACTAAAATGCTACTTCTTGACCCTCTCCCTTGTACCAATCTGGCAACAGTGATTAGCGGTAAAGTGAGTTGGAACTCTTTTCCATTTAAGAAAGAGAACCCCAATGAATAATACATGCACATTTCCTCAAGAGACAAGGAGAATTTTCTTTTTAATTGTTCACAGTAAAATTTGATCTGCATGTKCTGATATGGTTTGGTGGTTAAGCACGGTTCTCTAAGATGAATGTTAAATTAAGCAGATTTTATTTCAACTATAGCACTTCTAATTTGAAGTYAGTTGTTTTTTAGTTGTAAATACATAGTCCATTAAGATTATTCCATAGTCCATGTTGTTTGCTTCCAATTAATGGTAACCATATCTCATATTTTGTTGGGGATAATCAAGCATGCTTTTGTAATTTTAAAATGTTTCTCTGTCTCTGTATTATCATTTATATCTGAAGATTCACTAACAATCCTTGATGGATAAAAAATATTCASTTAATAGATAATTGCTAGAATAAGCTGCTTAGCAAGCAGCACTGTCTTTTATTTAGGCAGCAAGTCATTCCTATCGGAGTACATTCAACTATATTCAGAAATCCTTATTAATCAGTATTGCTGTTTCATTCAAAAACTAATATTGAAAGTGAAAAGAAAATATACTACTCCCTTTYGAGTCTTGCTTTCTTATCACGGGGTGACCTTTGTACAAGGGGCCCAGAAAACACAACATTCTCCAGATAAAAAATAATAGTATTTTTTTCCCCATTGATCTTATACATTCACATACAGACTATGTGAATAAGACAGATTATGTTTTAAATAGCATGTAGCCTGAGTTCTAGCAGCAATAAGAAACTGATAAAGATGTTCTAATGATTTAGAGAAAAACAAATCTTTATAGCAGAGAGGTGCGCAGAAGTGTTTATAGTGTAAACCTCCTCTCCTTTGGCTTTTCCTTCACTTTRAGAATGAGAGGAAATAAATTAACTGGTAGCTACTTTTTAGATAGAAAGTCAAAGCTGCTTCAGTTGTTCTAACAGATGCTGGTGGAATATCTATGCTATCAAACTTACCTATGCTTGTATTTTTTTTTTTTTTTTTAACTCCCCTTGAAACAGGGTCCCGATGGATTACCAATGCCTGGCTGTTGGCAAAAGGTAGGATGGGCAGAGCATTTTCTTTTCAGGAGCAATATGTCCTTAGCACGCTGAAATGCCTGTCACAATCTTACTGAGCAGATACACTTCAGAGCCTCCTAGACAGACACAGCCAGCAGTGTGAGACCAGAGCTCTCCATGGCAGTAGTTCATGTGATGTATTGTAATTTATCCAGAATTATTCATTGGGGCAGTGGTGTAGAAACTGTTGCCTTTAGTTTTCAGGAAAGTCCGAGACTTTCCTTCTTTTGCATGAAGCCTCACAAATCCTTTGGTTTCTGCAGATGATCAGTTCTTCCTATTCATTGTAAAAGTTCATGGATGTGGCATTTCTGTCAAAATATTTCTGTCATCTATTACTACATTGGTTTTCTGGGATACTGAGGACAGTGTATCTTCACCTTTTCYTTGCCTTACTTTTCTGTTCTTCAGTATATCCTCCTGGGGTTTGTGTTTTATGGCAATATTAACTGGCAACATTATTTTAGTAAAGAAGTCAACCTAGATAGTGCTTGATTTAAAACAATAGCATTCAGAATAATAGAGGTGGAGGGATGCTGGCATGTAATATATCAGAAAACATGAAGCATAAGTGAAATCCTGAGTGCCTTTGTCTCTGAAGAATAGTTGGTGCTGAGGAAATAACTCCATGTTTGTAACTCTGCCTTATCTATGTGTTTGTAATAGATGYCTGAAATATCTTACTAATTTGATTAATCTGTATCTCTTTTTGTCTCTGCAGTGATGAATCTAATCTTACAAGCATGAAGTTGTGTATATAGTGCTCCACATTTTTTTATTTATAGTTGAAAACTGAAAATTTGATTTTACAAGTCTGAGATATGTTTACATGTAGCTGCTTCTACTTGTTTGCAATGGTCCATATGTACATTTTTTTTCACCTACATCTGCAGTTAGAGGATACTATAACTGCAGGATAAACCTGCAAAGATTGTCTCTCTAATGAGAGAGAGATCTTAAAACAATTATCAATAATAGAAATTAATATTTCTGTAAATTCTTAKATTTTGGCTTGTGGATATGCATGGACAATGAGTGCCATGAACTAGTTTACAAGAAATTGTGACCAAATAAGAGCAAAATGCTATATGAAATGTACTGTACCAGCTGCTGTTGGAGTTTACTGACTTGGCTTCCATGTCCATCTTAAGCACATCACTGATTCATGACSCCACATCTGCTCATAGGAACTAAAAGCATGAGTTTGTGTGCCCAGCCTGCTTGTCGTGTGCTCGTGAGTGGCTGCTCGCGGTGATCTTTGATTGCGGCTTCTGAGTCATTTCCTTTTGTCATCTCAAGGGAGTCACACCATGGCTCATTGCTAAAAAGAGATAAACCAGAGGCGCATAGAAAGAGGCCTTGAATTTTTGGGGAGTAGCATTCCAGCTGCAGGTGGATGGCTTCCGGTCTTGCGGGATRCTTGGCCCCTTTGATGGAAGGGGGTCCCGCCTGTTGATCAGCATCGGTTTGCCTTGCACTGCTCACGGTCGCGAAGACATTCACGATAGGCCCTGTCGAGTCCTTCATCAAAAGGGAAGGAAGTTTGAAGAAGAAACCAGACTTCTCTGTGGGTTGTTTGAAAAGCTTACGGAGGTGCTGCAGGGATCATTTGATGGCAGACACCGCCTGAAACCAGAAGCTTCTCAACCTCACTCGAGGATGGACGGAGTATTTACTCTGCGTGTTGTGTTTTGGGACTGCTGSAGGAGGAAGCATTCTTGAGGTGGGGATGAATCAGATCATCCTCCAGAGGAGGATAACGATGGAACTGACCGGAGATGTATGTATCATGGTGTGGTTTTCAGGTTATTCACTTTCAATTACACATAACTAGCTGAACTTCTCTGCGGGATTTTGGAAGCAATGGTTAATTTTGTTTCCTTTTCCTGTTACTGTTRCCATAAAGAATACATTTCAATAATCTATTCAACATTTGGGATGACGGCATTGAAGAAAATGCTTTCAAGCCACATATTCTTCTTGTTTCAGTATTAAGAGTTTTTATTTCAGAGTCTTTGAAGCCTTTAAGTCTCGGAAAGAAAGTTTATTTTTGTGTTTCACAGAATGATGTATTCAACTTGTTCCCTTTTATGTTGTTACGGTGATTTTAGTGGACATTGTAGCTCAAAAAACATTGGAGAGAAATGATTCTGTGTGATTGTCACTGCACACTTGCCACCACGCTCCACTGTTAAATGTGTTGATCTTTTTTCCATTTCTGTTCAGACRGCTTTCTAGAGAAACATTTCCTTCTCCACTTTTTTCATTGCTAGAAATATGTAATTTGTGCACATTTGTAGTTTTGCCATGAGGTTTTTTTTACAATTTTGAGTCTTCATATRGTGCACTGAAGTTAGTTTGAGAGATTAATTTATGAGAAATGGTGCCATATTTGGGAGATTCACTTCTGTTCCTAATGTATATAGCAGAATCATCACAAACTTTTTTAGTTCCTTTTCAAAGAATTGTCTTTCATATRTAGACCAAAATTGAAATTGAAGAAGATAGCCTGTCTCCATTCATATGTGGGCACCTTATGCCCTTCTTGGAACGCACATTTTTCCTTGCTCCATCGTTTCTAAGTCATGTGAAGACGGGGTCCCATTTTCTGTATTGCTTCACAATCTCAGATCAATGAAAATGCCACTATAATRGAACATTTCTCTTTGATGTATCTTTATTGTCGTTTTGGTACATTGGAGTCAAACCCAGCTTTTCATTGAGGAAAAACCAGGCTTTTTAAACAAAAAGCTAATTKGTGGCCTCCAATTAGTAGTATCTTWCWAATAAAAAYAAAAATCTGACACTGTATAGATATATACACTGAATACATGTGTCTTATACTGCTCATTGCCATCTTTCCAATAGAAAGAAATAACCACGTAATAATAATAACCACATAATAATCTGTTCACAGATACAAGGAAAAACGTTATGCTTTCCCTAAATTTTCAGAGATGCAAGTATCAACCTGTTTGAATTGTCGTGATTGCAACAGTAAAAACCTTCAAGTGACAGGGATGGAATATAAAATATTATGAGTCAGAATGTTACAGCAYTAATGGGAATGAGGGCCTTTCAGGAGGGGGGCAGGAGCAGCACTGTGTGAGCCTCTGACTTGCCTTTTTCAGTCTGCTTGTGTAAGAAGCACTCTCAGAAAACCAGCAGGCTGAGAGCAAGCTGCCAGCCTGGCAGGAAAGAGTCTTGTGTTTGTGTCCTGGCTTGCCACATTTCTCTGGCTGTGTTTTTTAAGATACTGAAAACTGGCAATCACACAGTAAGATGAAATATTTTTTTAAAGGTCTCTCAGAATGTTCACATGTAAAATCAAGTAGGAAGTATTCTCTGGCTAGATGGTTTAGCAATGCCATGTTGAGAGCGTCCTCGAACAACTCATTTCTGAAATAGCAACAAGAGCTATTAAATGCATGCTGTCATTAGCACTTTCTTTTTTTTTTTTTTTTTTTTTTTTTTTTTTTTTTAGATTTGTTTACCTGTGTTTTAAACTGTCCTCCTAGCATCCAT